ACATAATTATTTCATTTACACGAGCGATAATAGAAATTACATCACGCGTGAAATACGTAATACGTTTTTCTTACGTTCATAAAAATTTTCTACATTGTCTTACTTATTATTATTATTTCGTAAAATATTTACATCTTATTCTCTGATATTTATTTCCAAGAAATATCACTTGTCATCCATACTTTGATCCACACTCGTGTTACACGCACTTTTAAAACAATTCCACTTCTATTCCAAGATGTTCCCATATTTTTTGCCGATTTCTTATAATATTCTTATATTTTTTTATAGATATGATATCGTAATCTATTAAAATTGAGTTATAAAAGCAAATTCACGTTATATCTCATTAATCTCGTAGAAAAATTAATCTTTCTTATTCCGTCGCACAATTCTTCGTGAAGAAAATGCATTTGTTTTTAAGAAATAAACAATAAATATAAATGTTCGATATCAATGATCGAACTACAGTTTTATAATTTTATAATATCCGTTAATAATCCAATGTTTTTATATTTATAAATGAAAATATTTCCGAGGTGACAATGAAAAATTGTTTCAATCATTTAATCCTTATTCATTTTTTGAAATAAAAAAAATATATCGTAATAAATTTTGAAATTTCGCTATGCGGATTAACTATTTCTTATTAAAAAATCTATATTTGAAATCTTTCTTCGTTTTATCGAATATCGAATATTATCGTCAAATAACAATCGTCTTATTTTTAAAAAGGAAAAGGAAAAGAAAAATATTTAAAAATTTAATTTAATTTAGCGTTATGTTTATAAGAAAATTATGACTATATATACTTGAAACATTTGAAATATATCAATAAGAAGAATTATTTAGAATATGTATACGTATTTACGTATATTTGTTGTAAGAATTTTCAAATGATAGATGAATAAGGATTACTAATCGTAAAACGTTATATGTATTTAATCGATAACTAAAATTGTTATTTAAACAAAAAATAGATAATATTGGCACGTGTATATATATTTTGATATATATTTTCTAATATAACGATTCGTCGCGGTTCACTATTAATCAACAATAAAAATAATTAATTCGTAAAGCAAGATTCTTATATAACTAGAAAAAAAATTGAATATAAAAAAAGCGATATTTATAAAAGATAATAATAAAATGGGTGGCATAATTATTATACGTAATTATGTACTATTATATATGCAGGATGATCCATTTTATCGTATATTTATCCGAGAACATATAAAATAAATTTAAAAAAATTGCATTTGCAAATGCAAATTTGATTTTTAAAAAAATTTTAATATTTAATTTTTACGATAGAAAAAAAGAACTACACAATATACGTGTATATATATTTTAAAATATCATTGAAATATCATTATAATCATTATTAAAATCGTATAGATATTCCGTTGTATCATATGTTATATTTTTGTCTTCGCCTCTAATACATTCTTCGTCGTCTTATATTTTAAAAGTAAAAGACATATGCGAGTCCCCTTTTTTCCTCTTAAATGTATCAGATAATAATACGAAGCGTATTTAACCCTGCTGTACTCTTTGTATCTTTCTTTAATAGATGGATTCATCGACTATATACAAATTATGGCAGTCGTATCCAATATGATCGGCTGGTACTATGAAATTTTATAACGAGGTATAATGTTCGTTGAACAGACACGAGCCGACAAAATGGGCGATGGAGATTAATGTATTTATGTTGGTATTGGAGAATAGAGATACCTATACCTCCCAAGGGGAGAGCCGTGGAACAGGAGGCTAAGGGGAATGCATCGAGATCACGCGTTGTAATATCGAGTAAGAGGATAGGAACTATCCCGACGATATCCAAAATGAGTCGTGAAAAAGATAAAATTATGAATGGGCCTAAAAATAAGAAATAGGCGTAGATATGTTATGGAATAATAGCGTACTCTGCTGGATGTGGAAATATCTAGATGAAAGATATCTTCTAATCGAGTAGAGATGAAAATCCTGGATACTAGAGAGAGAAAAATCTATTCTAACGATAGAATAGAACAGCGAACATTGCGATACGTGGAATCGAAGACGAGAGCGAGGAAGATATTCCACCGAACCGAAAAATTAGTGAACATTTTATTTATTTTTGTTGTAACGATTAACTGTATTATTACTTGCATTACCTGGAGGAAGGAAAGGGAAAATATTTTCGCTGATGACGATCGATCGCGGTAATTTGCCGATAAACGCAAATATGACATCGAGACAACGATCGAGCGGATATTAACGCAAACAGTAACGGCTCATCGAGGGAAGCTTTTTCTATATACACGGCAACCTATTTCCTTAAAGGAAGTATCAACTGATTCGAGATAAACATAGCTATAAACATGGAAGTGACATGCGACGATATGCATCGATAGAATGATATAGAAACACAGGTAATATCGAGATATACATGTTCAGTATTCTTCCGAGTTGATAACAAAGCGAAAAGAGAATCGAATAACGATTGAAATTTGTATAACAGATTTTTTTATCACATCGAATGACGAATCGAAAGAGGAGATATTGGAGAAGATTATTCAAATACGATTTTATCAATAAAAACCTGGATGTATTAATTAATTTATTCTCTTTTAATGACATAATAATAAAACTTTAAATAATAAAACTAATAATCTGAAACTATCGATTGCTTAGATCTCAGAAATTAATTAATTTATAATTATTTCCGAGATAATAAAAATTTTTGCGATTCAAGGGAGGCGTATGAAAAGGAATTTTTTAGCGAATATATCGAATTCGTTGTAGGCCTTGGTGAATCTCCCATTGGTACAGATGGAAGTGCATAATTATTTTAACTTCCCCCCTCCCCTTTCAACAATAAAAAAAAAGAAAGTGGAAGAAAAGAAATAGATCGCGTTTTACGACTAGAGATCGGACAAGTCAATAGACAATGTCGTCATAGTGGTCATCCGAAGCAGTGGTTAATGGATTGAAAACTCTGGTTCGGAAGGAAATACATGGAATGCACAACTCAGAAGGAGGTAAGATTGGAGAAAGCCAGTGAACCGAAAAATGAACTATTTGCTAAGGGTAGTGGAGATGGGATTGAGTACATTGTTGACGGAGGGGAAGAGGGGGGGGGGAGCGGGGGAAGAGGGAATTGGGGGGGGGGGGGGGAACGAGGCAATCGACAAAGTAGGCAGACGCGATGATCAAGACGGCCGTCAGTATCGAGAGAATATCGGTCTTGAGCGTATCTATTGTGAATACAGATACACACCAGAATACGATTTACGGGAACTAGATATTATCGCCATTTTATAAACGAGCGAGATTGTAGTCTTTTTAACGTTACGAGTACGAACAGGGGACCGAACATTAACCATGGTAAATAGGATGTATTGCCTGTCTCTTTTTCCAGAGACTTTAACAAAAATAAAATGGAAAATATAAAATATGAGTTTAAACGAGTTTATCTTTAAACTCGTATTTTGCGTATTTTTATATTTGCTGATATATAAAATTGTTAAGAAAATACTTTTTACACGATAAATGGTGAAAATAGAATTGTCACCTCGGTTCAGATACGAATCATATCGCGAAACGTCTCACGTACGTGGTTTCAAAGATATTTCCATGAGCATTACGCTAATATTTACATACGTATCGTAATTCAAAAATGCGAATTCAGAAACGACGTTTCAACGATGCGTTATTACAATTTGTCAACTAGTTTTAATATCGATGAAAATATTACCTAAGTTCCACGACATATCATCTAAAAACAAAGAAATAAATTAAAGTAAGGAATGGTAAGGATAAATTTGTAAATTTTGCCGCGGATGCACAATATAAATTGTCTCTGTGATAATACGTTGACGGTGGATGTTCATCTCCCGGCTTGCAATATTCGTGTTTCTCTTTTAATTCCGCCTGTAACAGAAAAATAAACAAGAATGAAACGAACTAACAATTTAGACTATTACACACGTGGCGCGAGTAAAGACGCATGGGAAGACGAGATTCTTTTTCTCGTGTATTTATTTTATTTCTCAATTTATTATTTCGTCAATGCAATCTTCGTTATGGAAGATATTTTTATAAATTTTATTAATTTATATTATCGTGATATATTTGTAAATTAAATTGCATCAAATAATATTCATTCTTACCTGACAAATGTCTCTACATGGAGGGCAAATTAGAGCTCCTTTATGAAGCCAGTCATTTTGTATTATTCTGATTGCAATTTCTTGGCCAGCGTGATAACACGTGTACGTGTAATTTGCGACCTAAAAAAATCAGATATATCGAAATTTATACGATAGATTATGCTAAAGAAAACGAAAACGAATTATAAACGTGTTAATAATAAAGAAGATTGTAAAACGGTTTTTCTGATACTGACTATAATATGTAATCTACCAACTTCACATTTATATCGATAACATCCGGAACCCCAATGTTGCCATTGCCTAGCTTGTTTACACGTTCTTTCTTCCCACATTTGATTCGTATGATCAAAGCATCTCGAATGTGGGCCGTATTTTTCTAAAGCAAAATTTTTGTCCGGATCTGTTGACAGAAAACAATCCGATTAACAAGTTATCGTTTTACTTTGATAGAAAATTACTTTGAAATAAAAATTATACCAATAATACTACTAAGTAAGATGTAAAAAATAAAAAATAAATAGTTTAATTGAAATCAGCGTATTTCTTTGAATTAAAAGTATTAAAAAAGAATACTCAAAGTTGTTTCTTTCTCTAAGTAAGAGGTATGAATTATTATTAAGTAAAATGTCGTTGGTTTAAATAAAAAATACCATTTATCATGGGATGAAATAGATTATTGGATGGTACAGTTATTAATAAGCGTTAAGAGACTTACGAGGATTATTCTCTTCGTAGAGACAATGAGAGCCTCTAACTACTATATTTCGAGCTCTCCACGTAAACTCTTGAATGTATGGACAATAATCCGCTAGAGATACCGAACCACCGTAGTATTGTTCCTCTCCAGCTGGCACGTGAGGTATAAAGTCAAAGTTCTAAGATTCGAAACATCGATATTATAATTAGGTTTTTATGCAAATACATATTTTTTTTATTATCTATGTATTGCATATATTTTACGTATAAATGACATAAATATAGACTATCGAGTTACAAATCGTGTCCAAAAATTTAACGAGCGATTCTCCGTTTAAAGTAAAATAAGAAACTGCTCGTCGTATTTATGATATCGATTAGAAATCGATAAGAATAAATGGATATTCTAAAAAAGCGGAAAGTGTATAATAATAACAGACGAATAAATTTTTTATTTATTCATTTCGAATGAATGGTAAAAAAAAAGAAAAAAATATTCTCTATATAATTTACGAAATAAACGAATGGTTGTATTTAAATGGAGCAAAGATATTTTACGAATGTATGTACATGTAATAATTTTATACCTGATATTTCTTAGGTAGAGGTTGCGAGTATTTGATCAAGTTACACAATGCTACTGAACTTCGGTCATCGGTACACTCGGTCTGTAATGGATCTTGTTTCACTTTGTTACAAAACGGATGAATAGACTTTCCCCTGAAAAACGATAGTAAACTTCGATATTAAAGATATATAATAACCTATTTCACTTTTGTTTTCACGATAATTTTCTCGTTGTTTTTATATTACAACGCAGCGTTTATTATTATTGTTATTATTATAGATTATAGACTCGACGAAATATTGTTATTATGTAATAAAATTATGCGTTTCGCATCCATCTACGTTCTTAAATTAAAATATGGTAAAAATTTTTTCTATTTTTGCATTATTTTTTTTGGAATACATACGATAACCGAAACGATTTTGAAGATATCCACTCCTTACACGACTTCATCGAAAAATTGCAGCCAAGATTCCTACCCCATCCTAATTCTTGTGCCATCGAGTAATTCGCGCTATACCATCCGGTATCTTCCATAAGAGCAAGTGTTATCCTTGAATAAACTGGATTTTGAGTATGTGTCCCCGTCATTGCTTCGTTCTAAAACGATGAAAGATCGTGGCGTTTAGATTTTACAAAATATTGAAGTAAGTACGTCACGATATTTTTAAAATTAATCGCAAATATGAAAACATTTCGAGCTAATGAAACGATAGATAATTAAATTGTGTATTAAAAAGGGGCAAAATAGCATAATAAAAATATAATAAACAATTTTTTTATTTTAAAGCGTTGTAATGGCGTAATCTATTAAACTAACGATAACAGATATTTTTGTTCCTCGAATTTTGTTTTACTTACTATACTATAAAGTTTAATTCGATATCGGATTTATTTCGCTATGTAAATATCAATGATACGATTGATTTAATTTTGTTTACCAATGATATACGATTAATGATTCTTAGGTAAAGGGGAAAAAAAAGAAAGAAAAAAAAAAAAAAAAAAAAAAAAAAAAAAAA